TGCCCCACCGACCTGCTCCCTCCGCGCCCACCCGCCCCGGAGGCCCCTTTACCTTGATGCAGTACGGGGGCTCATCGTAGGTGACCAGCATGTACCTGTCTCCGCGACTGGCCGGGTCGCGGGCGCGCAGCTGCGGAGCAGGGATGACGGAGGGCAGGGATGAGCGCAGGGAAGAGGGAGGGGGCGACACGGACGTTACAGAAGCACCTGAATCCGCCCCATCCCTAGGGGCTCTCCCCGCCTCTCCCCTACCCTCCCTTTACCTTCAGAAATAACTCCACAGCGCCTTTGGCAACGTCCAGATAGGAGGTGCCCAGGTCAGTGCGCTGGTTCATAGAGGCGGACGTGTCTATGAGGAACAGCAGGATGGGCATCTTCCTCCTCACCCCTGGCTCCAGCTCCCGGCTCGCCTGGCCCTCTAGTCCTCACTGCCCTGCTCCGCGACCAGAGCCCTCAACTCTCACCGAGCCAGGGAGCAAGAGGCAGAGGGAAGCCCAGCTCGACAGATGGGACTGCTGCTGCAGTCTGCAGCCCCACCGCCCCTCCCTCCCGGGGAACTTGAGAGTGGGAGCGTGTGTAGCCCTGGGGCCCTCCCCCTTCCTCGCTCCTTCTGCCACCACTACAGCCGCCACCGCCGCTGCCGCTGCCGGGACCACTGCCCAAGCATCCGTCCTCGCTCATTCGAGCGCTCCCCCAGACTGAGAGCCGTCTCTGTTCACCGCCACACAACTTCTCTCTGCTCACCTATCATGGGCACCATGTGACCAGGACCCGCGCCATTGGCTGCCAATTATGTGAGATTTGCATATTCATTAGATGACAGAACTAGAGGAGGGACTTGGGCGAACCCTGGGAGTTGAAGTTTGAACCTAGGCAGGGGGTAAGGCGAAAAGTTAAGGACCCTTGCCGGGAGCTCCTTTGCAGGACTTGGAAGCTGTTAGGATGGTTAATTCGTGTGTTCTGGATGGAGTTTCTCTTGCTTATAAAGATGAGTGAATTTCAGCAACAGCTGTATGGAAGGAGATGCTTGCGCGGACTGCGCAGTAAACGCTTTGCTAACTGCGCTCTATCAATCTTGGCTAAATCCAAAACATTTCAGAAGCTGCAAACTTCTTTCCAGGCAAGACTTACTCGCATTCCTTTGGATTCCGGTCCCCCCCACCAATCAGTATTTGTAGTCTGTTGCTGGCCTTACATTCCACATACATCTACTTAGGAAGGAAACGTTTAAGTTTAAACACAGTTGATTGAAACGGCCTGTAGCATGCACAGGCTTCTTCAGTTTCATTGAGCGCTTTGAAGTATTGGCCTGACTGATAATTCCACCCGCTTTGGGTATGCATAGCCTTAACACCTGGGAGGTTCACCTACCTTGATTCTGATTCAACTCATTCATGGAGCACCTATGAAGTACCAGACACCCACGTTGACCTCATTTAATCTTTGAAAGAAGCTCGGTAGATGGCACTGAGTTCAATTTTCAGTAGGACTCTGCAGCTCTGTGAGGTTAAGGTAATGGTGAGGGAAGCTGTCAGGTCAGGCTCTGTGGAGAGGCTCAAGGTGGCTGACCACAGTTGGTTGACTATGTAACACAGTTCTTAAATTGGAGGTGTGTGTTCCTAGTGGTACGCTGTGTACAACATGGACTCTTGGGTTTCAAATAATTTATTTCTTTG